TCTCTCTATCTATCTATCTATCTATCTATCTCTCGCGCACGCGGTTGGTTTATCAAAGTTCTGAAGCGTACGGTCATGATGGCCGTGTGTACAATGACAGTTGCCCAAAATGCAACTATAATGAACAACCATCATGACCGTACGTTTCGGAACTTTGATAAACCTACCGCGGGCCAAAAAAAAAAAAAAGGGAGAGGGAGAGAGAGAGAGAGAGAGAGAGAGAGAGAGAGAGAGAGCTGGAACGTTGTACAGTCCACCAACCAGCCATAGGCGCGCAGCGCAGTCACAACACCCCTCTCCTCCTTCATCATCTTCTTCCATAGATAGTAACCTTCGGATGAGACGAGATACTGACTTGCAAGAGCCAACGCCCGCCCCCTGATTTTCGTCCCAGACTTCTTCTTTCACGCCTTTCCATTCATCGAGGATGCCGTTGCCCTCGTCGTTGACTCAGACTGTCCACCACTAACATCCTTTGGTTTGTCGGAAGAGGGAGCCGCCCCTGCATCTGGGAAAGCAGTAGAAGATGTGGCAGTTGTGGACGACTCCGCAGCAGACGCCCTCTTGGCAGCAGACGCGGTGACAGCAGCTGATGAGGCAGCAGACGATGACATAGCAGCAAATGGCTTGGTAGCAAATGGATTGGCAGCAGATGACGTGGCATAAGATGACGTAGTAGCAAATGGCTTGGTAGCAAATGGACTGCCAGCAGATGTCGTAGCCGAAGATGACGTGGCAGCAGATGACATAGCAGCAACTGGCTTGGCAGCGAATGGTACCCGTAGGGGCATCTCGAAAATTTTCCTGCTGGCTTTTAACGGCCATCCAGTAGGGGCATCCCGCAAATTAGGGACCGGTACCGGTAGGGGCCTAACGAAAAGATTTGAGGCCCAAACGACACCGGGGACTTATGGCAAATTTGAACCCTGCTCAGAGGGGCACGACAGGGTAAATCGGCCATCGGAGGGGCGCGACACGAAATAACGCAAATTACAGGGGCGCCAGACAAATTTTCCCAAAAAGAAAACACTAGACCTCACTGCACTAGGCTTGAAATGCCCTTCAAGAGTTGTCAGAGTCTTGAAATGCCCGCTAGAGCCATTGTTGCTGCACTCTTGAAGGCACGATAGCACTACCCGACAGCCCCAATCTGGTTTGTCCTTCCCCTTCCCCCCCCAAAAAAAAAGAAAAAATCTGGCTTGTCAGCCGAGACTGCAGTCCGAGTCTCCAAAAAGGAGAGCTCGTGAAGGGTYCCAGAGACCACCCTTGAAAAACAACACCTCGCAGCCAGGCACCCCAGAAGCTTCCAATGCTCGTTTCGTTTCAAGGACCGTTCTGACACCTCTTGAAAAGAAGAAAAAAACAGAGGGGCAAGTACGTGGGAGTCACACCCAACGTTCAGAATATGCAACCTTTCTCCTGAAAAGAAAAAACACAGTTACACAGAGGAGCAAATACGTAGGAGTCACGCCCAACTTTCGGAATATGCAACTGTTTTTTTTTTTTTTTTTTGGATAATTTGCAGAATACCCCCATAAGTTGAGATATATGCCAAAATGCCCCTGAAAGATGTGGGTAGAGCGGACTGCCCCTCTGCCAAAATGAAAATGAAATGCCCCTGGCGTTGGTCGGAACCCCCATTTTTGTGATATACCCCTACCGTGTACCATCCAACTTTGCAAAATACCCGGAACTTGCCAACTTTCCTAAGGCCCAGTTGCAAAAGGCCAAGGCCCAAACGGCAAGGTCCGGATTTCAAATTTGCACACCAGCCTGACTGGGGCCTAACACAAAGTTTTCGGTCCAAAAGGGCATTCCTCTCTGCCCACGTCCTTCAGGCGCATTTTGGCACATCTCTCAACTTATGGGGGTATTTCACAAATTATCGTTTTTTTTGCCTGCTGACGACTCCACCTATTGGTGGGGAGCTTCACGTGCTGGAAACCGGGTCCAGTGTCCCTTGTACAATGTTTAGATTGTTCAAAGCTGTATGAAACAGGGCATTACGTACGAGTCTAAACGTGGAGGCCGAGCCTTCGTACAGTTGGTGATTGACTGAGGAATGTAGACCTACGCAATATTAGGAAAATCCAATCTGCCAAATGTGTTATGCCCTCACAACTCTAATTAGACTCTTATCTCGCCTTTAAACCACCAGTACCTCGCTCAGCTATCGGCCGCGGGCCTTCCCGTATCCGCGCTGCAGCCTTAGGGAGGTCGGCCAAGGGAAAGCCCGGTCGCTCCTTCTTGGCCGGAGCCCGTCAAGTACGGGGTGTTACTCACACAAAGAAGAAAAAAAAAAAATTATAAACACAAGAAAAAAAACGAAATAAAAGAAGATTCACGTCGTTTCATGAAGAGAGAGAGAGAGAGAGAGAGAGAGAGAGAGAGAGAGAGAGAGAGAGAGAGAGAGAGAGAGAGAGAGAGAGAGAGAGAGA